TTGTGTATTTGTTTATGTGTATATATGTGTGTGTATGTGTTTATGTGTTTATGTGTGTGAGAGTGTATGTGAATGTGTGTTTGTGTATGGCTGTGTGTCCATGGATGCACAAGTATAATATGTGTATATGTTGTATGTGTGTGTTTAGGTGCGTGTGTGTCTGTCTGTTTGTTCGCGTGTGTGTGAAGTGCATATTTGTGTATGTGAGTATGTGCGGATGTGTGTGCGTGTGTATTTGTATGTGTGTGCGTGAGTATGTGTATGTGTGGGCGCGAGTGATATTGTGTGTGTGTATGTGTGTGCGCGTGTGTTATTGTGTGTGTATGTGTGTCTTTGTCTGCGTATGGGTGTGTGCGTCTGTGTGATCCCATTACTTTTCTATATACAATTAATTTCACTTCTGTATATGTGCCTGACACTAAAGAGAGACCAGGAAAGTGGAAAAGAAAAAATAATTATCTTGGGCCCCTAATAAATCATTGCCACACCCTTTATGCCCTTTTGGAAAATGAGGCGGGTGAGGACGGGGGAGGGTGGTGGTGGACTGAAGTGGTTAATTTGAAGATATATTTTGATAAGGTTTGAGGTTCATTCTAAAGTTATTATAATTCTCGTTTAGAGCGATCAACAAAAATACCTCTATAATGAACTTTTGCATACACTATGAAAGATAATTGAAAATGCAGGGAGAATAAAAAGTAAGGTATGACGGATGAGGTGAAAGCATTCCACTCTTGGGCTTCATATCTCTGCCTCTTTTTATCAATCTCTGTCTCTCTCTATGTCTGTCTGTCTGTCTCTCTCTCTCTTCCTCTGTCTCTCTCTCTTTCTTTATCTTTTTCTCTGTCTGTCTGTCTGTCTGTCTGTCTGTCTGTCTGTCTGTCTGTCTGTCTGTCTGTCTGTCTGTCTGTCTGTCTCCCCTATCTCTTTCTATCTCTCTCTTTCTCTCTGTGCCTCTCTTTCCCTCTCTCTCCCTCCCTCTCTCTCATTTTTCTCCCCTCTACCCTCTCTCTTTTTCTCTCTAGCTACGCCGATTCTCCTTCTTATATTTCTCTCGTTCTTCCGATTTCTCATTCTTTCTTCCCTCTCCCCCTTCTCTCTCTTTCTTATTCGCCACCCCTTCTCTTTCTCTCTCTCTCTCTCTCTCTCTCTCTCTCTCTCTCTCTCTCTCTCTCTCTCTCTCTCTCTCCCTCTCTCTTTCTCCCTCTCTTCTTTTCTCCCTCCCTGTCTGTATATCGTCCTATATCTATCTCTCTGTCTGTATGTCTCTTTCTATGTCTACATGTCCCTCTGTCTGTCCGTCTGTCTGTCTGTCTTTCTGTTTGTCTGCCTGTCTGTGTCTTCCTATTTCTATCCCTGTCTGTCTGTTTCTGTCTCTCTTTCTATGCCTCCTTCTGTCAAGACAGAACAACACAGTTATCTGTTGTCTGAAATAAAACATCCTTCTAGACCACATTGTACTCGTACATTCGTTTTCCGTAGCCATAAAAACTAAGCAAAGAGGAAATATAATCGGCAGTGGACCCCCCTCCCTCCTCCCCCACCCACTTACCCCCTTATAGTCTTTCCTTTTCCTTCCCCGTATAGCTAGTCCCAAACTTCTTGGTCTACCAATGGGGATTTTTTTCGGAAAGAGTTTTACGGGAATTACAACACAAATAGGTCACACAAGTGTCGAAAATTAGAATTGTCACTAGAGAATGACATGTAAAGAAAAGAAAGAGGAGAGATAGGGACGATATAATATGTTTGAAAGGAAAGAAGGAGCAAACCAAAGCAGAGAACCCGCCAACCGCCCACTTTCCATAATCAGCAACAACGTGGTGTGAGTTTGACTTTGACAAGCTGGCAGAAGTGACAGCTTTTCTAAAAATAGCATGATGATGTCATGGGTAGTGACCAGTGTCAACCAAACAAAGCTCGTAACATGGCGTTAGATATACATGTACACACATACATACGCACGCACGCGCGCACACACACACACACACACACACAC